CTCAATGTCATTTCTTCTGCACAGAAAGGTACTGCCAGAGAAGTACGAGGCTCTGCCACAGGACCCGTCCCAAGAATTCTGTTAAATTCAACAGGATGCTTAACAAAAACCTAAGAAAACTCTCACTGCCTACTAAATTCTATAGGGTTTTGTGTAAGGAAAATTAAAGGCATCTTTTTCCCAAGCTGTCTCGTATACACACATGACTATAAACAAGCAATGCAAGCTTGCTTGCTCTTTGAAAGGCAGCAGCTGTGTTGTTCCAAAAGTCCCTCCTGAATGTAAACATATTAGCACTGTATAAACAGCTTGATTTAATAAGAAATGCAATACAATATTCCTGCTTTGTCTTTAGGATCACGATGTTGATGGCGGCAATAATTCAGAGGTGAATTATGGTATCTGCTGAAAAGAAAGAAAAAGAAAACTCTCCAGCTATAGTTGTGAATTAATTTCTTCCTTTTAGCTGAAAATGAGAAATGGCTATAATTTAGTTCCCATTTAAAAGTTGCTGTTGGCTAAACTCTAAAATCTTAATTGCTTCTTAATATTCTCTGCGTATTTTTCCCTTTGAAACCACAGTCTATAGCATTGTAGTATTTAGATTAAAAATCAGAATGGAAAACAAACACTGGAAGGTCACCAGTCACTCCTAAAATATAGGTTTTTCTCTAAAATGACAGAAGTTAATGTGCATTGAAGTATTTTAGCTGATTTCCCAACACTAGTCACCCTTCTGCACCTCTGTGAAAAAGAAAGTGGCACTGACCCTGGGTTTCCCTTAAAGTGTCAACACTCAGGACTTGTTCAATTTGCAACAGAATACAGTGGAAGTGCTAGAAAAGATGTTTCAAGCCATATTATGGCTCAGCATGCTATAGGAACTCGCCTTGTTGCAAAAAAACTGAAGTCACACTCAATCCCTAAATAGTTTGGAGGTCACTACCAAACACACTCTGCAATTCTCAGAGCTTGCAGAAAAGGCTGTGAGAATAACAGTGGCAAAGACTGCAGACAATCCAAGTCAAATTTTAAACTGACCTTGAAGAACTGCAGAAGGATCTCATGATACTGAGTCTGGGTATAAAATCGCAGATCCAAAACAAATGCCCAGAAATGCAAAAATAATGTGCTTGGGAAACTGCACCTTACAATGCACATGTTTTAACAGGCTCTAGATGAGCTAGTAGTGCTCCAGCAAAAGATCCTAAAATCCCAGAGAATAGTTCTCAGAAATACTCAGTGGTTGTCCCTACAGCAAACAATTTCAGGAACAAATATGAAAGGAATGAAAGCAGCAGAAGAAATACCATTGTGCCACAGCAGAAGCAAATGGTGAATCTACATGTTGAGTAAAATGAGGATCTGGTGTCCTCACCTTTTCCCTCTGCTAAGACTCAAATTCCCTGATGCTAAAAGAAATCCATTTCAAGCACTAGATGTCCTGGCAGCAACAGTCCCCTTTATCATGCCCACGACAGCTCTAGGATCAGCCAGGCCAGGTTTTCCTCATGAGGAATCAAACATGCACAGAAACGAACTTAAATTACAGCCACCATTGTCCCTCCTGCCCAGGAAGCCCAACTATCAACCAGCTCCAGCCAACTTCCTGGCTCCTGGTCATCCCACGATGGCGCTCTCCTCATTGTTCTGGGAAAAGAGGCAGTGCAATTTTTGCAGCTTCATTATGCTGACCTAGTTTATTTTCCACTCTACCAACTTAAAATCACATAGCCCTCTTTACAGAGCAGTGCCATTAAAAGTACTGAATGCAGGAAACTTTAGTAGAAAGGTAATTCAGAGCTGCTGCTTGCCCGCAAGTTCCCATCCCTTTTCATTACTGAAATGGCCATCATCCTAAACTGACAGAAGTGACCCCTTCTCTTCAACATCAATCATATTTTTTCGCCATTTGTCCAGGATCCACATGGAAAAGGAACTGAGAATAGCAAATTACCTCTGCAAATAAGGGAGTCTCGTTCAGAAATGGCACAGATAATTTCCAAATATATTCAATTACAAGAAGTCTCTAATGAACACAGCATGGAAGCTCAACAGATAAAGAAAGGAAAAGCTTCATCAAACAGTGACTGCTTCCTATCACTCTCCTTTTCAAATAAAGGGAACAGAAAATGACGCTTCCTTACAACAAGACATCATCACAAACCTTATTTCATTGCTGTATCATGGAATGAGTTACGAAGGATCCAAACAGAGATAAACGCTTTGTCAAACCTTCACAAGCAACCTCCCCAACTCCTTATTTTGGTCCCTGGATAATAGGGCATCGATGCAACGCAAACAAGCAGAAGGCTTTGCTCTGCTTCATTGTTCTACTTATGTCACCTCTGGTCTCAAATCATCTAATCCCACAAATGCTCAAAAACGCAAAAGTGAAAATATCATTTGTTTTACCCTCAAAATGTATTGCCAAAGGGTAACTATGTCTCTTCTGCATTTTTGAGTTCTCTGGGTTTTGTTTTGTAATGTTTTTTCTCACACCAAAACAAAGAACTGCTGTGCAAGAAAAGACCCCTTGGTCCAACGCGCCTGTCCCCTGGAGGGTTATCCCTTCATAACAAGTGTTTCTCTGCTGTGCACTTCAATACCATGTTTCCCATACTGAAAAATCTGTCTCAAACTCATTCGCATGCCATTTGCTTTGATGGTGTTATTTAGCAAATTATTCCATATGTTGCCCATTACAGTTTAAGCTAAGTATTTCTTCCTGAAAATCCAGATCACTGTTCCTTTCAAACTTGTAAATTAGACTCTGCGGTGTTTGGGGATCTGTTTTTTCCTTACTTTAAAAAACTCACAGAGATAAAAATTTTATTTTTTCTACAGAAAGCTAATCACACTGAAAAGGGCACACAAAATGCTGTGTTGCCAGTTCAGTGACATGGTCTGCACAACGTGAAATGTTACTGTGGATGATTTGTGTTCTAGTTGCTTGTTGATTTATCCTAAAACACACGTTGACTTTTTTTTATACACTCTCTTTATTTGTTAAAAAAATCCTCAGAACTATGAAGGTAGAGGTTATTTTGAAACTCTCAAGTTCGTTTGTTGTTCCTCAATTTGTTGCTTCATATTTACCAAAAAACTTTGACTGCTACATGACATACTTTCCATGTCTATATTAATTTTTAATCTCCACCTTTTTTTTAGTATCAGTTATACACAGAAAAATGGATCCACTGCTGCCAGGGGTATTAATGTCAATGCTCATAATTTTACCAAAGCTATGGATGAATGTTAACTCTTCATGCCTATTATGGAGAGCAGATAAGAAACAATTGCTGTCCATATGCAAAATAACAAATATTACTGGAAAAGTAATTTGGTTTCAGTCAAAGTCCTTGTTCATGTATCTTCCTTGATTCATGTGCTTGTTTGTTATTACGAAGGAAATAAAAATTTTATGAAGTGGATGGTTAGGAATTTTGAAGATAAAAAGTATTTAACTTTAATTAACATATCTTAATTTTAGACTCAAGTAATATTACGATTTATAATACAAGCCAATTTTTATCAAAAATTAGTCCCTAACTATTGGTCACTAAGCCAGTACTTTCCAACTTTAGTATCTTCTCAGGGACGGTATTGTTACTCTTTGAGCAAATTAAACACTGCATTTGCAATTATTTCTCTCAATCCATTAGTGAAATTGCAGGAAATGGAAATGTTTTCCAAACAATGAGAGGTACCAACATTCTTCTTGATAATAGCTGCTAGCATTTTATTTCAAAACCTTTCCTCCTTAGAAGAGCTATTTGTATCAATGCAAGAAAAATATTACTAACCCCTCATTAGAGTGCTTCAGGATATACCATATCCTTCAAGGGCTTGCCTGGTGTGAGTGTGACCAAGTTTAGTCCTTCAAATGAAGAAAATATATATTGAAGGACAGGACACTACACTACACTACAATGGGATCTTCAGAACCTTTCCAATTTCAGCTTTTGTGCACACATCACTGCAATTTTATTCATTGTCTTACTGCAATGATCTTAATTACCTGCAAATGTTAATAGAAATGAATTTCACAAGACTATTGTCATCTATTTATTAATATCCTTTCAAATGTTCCCAGCCTCACCAATTTGGCCAATTAATTGTCAGCGAAATTGGTGTACTGAAAAACAGGTTGGTAGTTTTTTAATTGATTCTGCAAATATAATGATCAATGGACTGCTATGTCTCATCAAAGCTACTTTTCTGTGTCCCATCTAATCAGATTTTGAAATAATTCCTAAGTACATTCTATGAGGCTAATCCCTGGTTAATTTTCACTACCAGACAAGTGAGGTGTCTTTGGGTTCTGGTTCTGGCACAAGAAGGTGCTGCAGGTTTTAATTTACTCTAAATCAAATGGAGGAGGATTTGTTGATGCCAATCCTAGTCTCCCCCACGGAATCAATGCCCACTGGTGTAAAGGGCAGCATCTCTTTGTAAGAGGCGATCTTTACTTTCAAAACCTTGCAGATAGCACTTCGAACACTTCACCAATGCTAAAGAGCTCCTACTCAGAGCATTGCTATGTAATGTGAAACAAATTTACCCCCCTTTCTTGAAGTACAGTCAAAGGAAGAAAAAACTGCTTAAGATCACACACGAGGTCTGTGGCAAAGCCACCCATGGAGGCAAGTCCAGTCTCACTGGGCTTTTCTCCCACAACCACCCTTCCTGAAGGCCAAGACAATGACACCTTTTTATAACTATATTAGAGGGACTGATTGTGAAAATATTTGTCGGCATTACAGCTGGCTCTACCATTGCTAGAGCTCCACCATGCTCATTTTCATGAAACAAAAATCAATATTTAAGACAGCTGAATAGTTAACCAGCAGAGCCGTTCTAGCATCCAGAGAGTTATCTAATGCATCTATCACCATAACATCTAATAAAATAAAAACCACAGGACCACATTAAAAAAAACCCACCTGAAATGCGTTTTAAATCATAATCAGTTTCCAATCAAAAGGAAACAGGCTCACCTCCAGTAGACAAGCACAGCAATGAGAAGAATGAGGCACACAAAGGTCAGTGCTGAGACCACAATAAGCGGGATGATCCATTCCATTTTACCAGGAGAAGGTCTTGTGGCCATGCTGGAGCTGTTCTTGTCAGCTGTGTGTTAAACACATAACAAAAACAATCACTGAATGGAAAGAGAATTACTGTGTGGAACAATGTATAAGCAAAACAAATAGCTTGTCCGTTTTACGTGGTATGAGTAAACAGAGCAAAGATCTTCTAACTGCAGGGTGGGACTCCATTTGTCTTTAGTCTGAGACATGAGAGCACAAAAGTGTGGTGTTTATTGCCACATATGGCTTGGATTTTACTAATGCCTGTAATTACAGTCTTATAGACAATTTTAGGACTCTGCGGTGCAAGCACCTATTATCCCATGTGGAGTACCCCACTTTGCTCACCACGGTAAAAAGGAAACGCTTTGCTCGGTCATCAGCGTTTGCAGACAAACGCGCTCTGTTTCTCAACACTAGAGGACAGCCCTGTTTGCACAGCTCAGTGTAATACTTTGCTTCAGAAATAAATTTCTTGGTAACTATCTTAAAAAATCCTCAACATGTTGGGTGTCATGTCACATCATTTGCGGAATTGTCACAATCTGGTGAGTTACTGCATACGAAAGCACTTTTTAGCATATGGATTGTCAAGATGGATGGATGAATGAATGGATAGGATGTGTTGTAACTGACAGAAGAAATCATTATGCCACAGCTTTTGAACAAAATTAAAGTTGGTCAATATCCTGAGATCTGTCCGAGTAACTCCATTTCACTTTTCACATGACATCTCGTTAAAATAACTGTATCACCTATAAGATGAATATCTAGAGGTCCTGCAAGTACTGGAGCCAATGAGCATAGACACCGTGTCAAGGTATTTCAAAAGACATCTAATCTGTGCAAATTCATGTAGACTTGACAAATAAATTGTTTTAGAAAAAATGATAAAAGAAAAATACAGAAGCGGATCTTGTATCTTATTCATGTTTCCTAACAAACAGGCGGTAGTTGATCAATGCCTGTCAACAGAACGTAATGGGAAAGAATTAGTGTAAACAGCTTCAGATCTGAACAAGGATTGAAATGTACACACTTGACTTCTACTTTTTAGCCTACGTGAGTTTTTCCTTACCAATGTGCTTCCTTGCCCTCGTTCAGGATTGTATTATCATATCTTCTGAAACTGCTGCAAATCCTACCAGAAGAACATAATTGCCTTTTCACCGTAGGCAGGCAAAACACAGATAATTGGAAGTCACCAGATGTCACATAATATGAAGTCATACTCTATTTTAATAGCATTTAGATTATACTCCTCCATAGGCAGGAGTAAAATTCAACTAACATGGAAGTAAAGGTTAATTGTAAATGCTTTTGCCTGACTGCTGAAAACAGAGCAAGGCTGCAGGCTGCTGCAAGCCCAGCAAGAAATCTTTCTAGTTTTAAGAACTAGGCTGATGGAGGTAGTGCCCTTTAGCAAGCAGCCTAAATGAGGTGCTAATCAGAGGGATGTTTGGGGGAAGTGGACGTGCACTGAGTATAGAACTGATCAAAAGAGAGATGAGTAGCCAGTTGTCTCCAGCTCCAGTAAGAAAGGCTACTGAGGTTACCAACAGTGCCACTTTGCAGAATAGGCACACAACGTTGCACCTCGAGCACGCGGTGAGCTTTCGTCTTCACAGCGTACTAATGATATACAACATACTAATGACATACAACATACCGTTTTTAAGGCAGGTCTTTGATTTCCTTGACTAGCAAAGAATAAGGAAAAGAAGAAACCCAAAACTAGAGCAAAGGCTTATTCTCTGCATTTGCCAAACTTGCAAAAATCGTAAGCCCTGAGGCATCAGTTTTTATCAGTGCATTTCAAATCATTTAACAGCATGAAAAAATTAAGCCTGTGAGGTAAGTGTTGCTAATCAGAATGGTAAAAGGGACAAAGCAAAAACCCATGCAATGTAATAAAACTTAGTAGGAGAGCCAAGCAGACCCACCACCTTACATCCATTAGGGTGTTGCTTCATTTCTCTCCAAGGACGGTATTCTGTTTAGTTTCACCTCCACATATTTCAACACAAAAGCATATGTTTCTGTTTGCATGGGAAGAAAATTAAATTCCATTGTAAGCACAGCATGGGCTGGAGTCCCAATGCAAACTTATTAAATTCTGCAGTGCTCACGATGCTCCTCTTACTCATTCTACTGTGGAGAACACACTTATCTGACCCTGCCAACTCCCTATACCACCAGTGTGAGGATAAGAAGGCGTTCAGTATGCTGAGTGCCAGAATAGCAAATGCCATTCCCACATGCTGATGGCTGGCCCTGAAATTCCAGTTGGGAATGCCCAAGCAGTGATATGCTTCAGAAAAAAAGAGACCGTTCCTGCACTGACTTTGGAGAAAGTCTTAAGTGTTTTCCACTGCTTAAGTAAAGTGTTGAGAGTGCTTAAACAAACCAATGCCAATAAAAATTGTACTAGAACGACAGCTGCGGCCAGAAGTACAGCAGTACAGCTGGAGTGCTGGCGCTGGTCTCTTGAGTGTCATGGCAGAAGACTCTAAGAAACGGCAGCACGCTGGGTAACTTGGAAAAAGGGTTGAAGAAAATACACACACAAAAAAAGACACACCTGGGCCTTCACAGCTTCCTGTTCTCCTACATAACAAAATATTACAAAATAAAAAATAGTCAGCATTTCACTCTTTTCCAAAGCAAGAATGTTGAGCCTTGGTAGTATCAACAGCATATCCTTGTAATGGTGCCCACCATACGCTGTACTTCGGGGGTGGGGGGGAGGGAGGATCTTAAAAAATGGACCAGGAAACTCCATTTTTGCTAAGAAATGTAAACAGTTTCCAGTGGCATATGCCTTCGTTGAATTAATTCAGTTTGCCTTTTACTGGCTTGGAATTCATCCCAGTAGGAAGGAATAAAAATTATTACAGCATATCTGCTTCAGGAGGTCCCACATGATACAAGCCCTGGCACTGCTAAATCCACTCCTGCGTCTGGAAAAATCCGTAACTCCTGTGCACCAACTATTCAGCAGTTCCATCCAGGCCATGGATGGATTAGGCCCTGGCACAGAGAGTATTAGAGGGCATTAGGCAGCGAGGGAGGCTTTGGCAGTGCAACTCTTGCACAAAAAGGCAAGAAAGAGGCATTCTACAATTTGTGAAATATACTGTTTTTCTGTGTATTCTTGTGAATTGGTTCCTGAGAATAGAAACATGTTTATTTCTGTTACGTAGCACTGCTTGCTAAAATAAGCAGCCATAGCTGTAATATATAACCTATCTACCTTTATCATCCATTGCACAAACTGCCGGGACAAAGTCTGTCTGTTATACTGTTACAGATACTGCTAACTATGACAATACACGTGTTCTGCAGGCCAAAAGAAAGCCCCTGCTGCTGAATTGCCCCAGATCATCCGGTCACTTAAAAGAAAGTCACCTGCTCATCTTTCCTTTGAGTAAATGAAATTATGGACTTTATACAAAGGTATCAATTAAATCTGGAAAACAGTATTGGCCATATTATCAAACGATGAAAAGGCAAAACCATGTTTTTAAAAGAAATATTACCTTTGGTACAAGCTCATGCCATTGTGCAGCTATTTTCTCTCTATTTCTTCAAAGGCATTCCATACTTACAGGCTGTGCACAGCTAAGCATGGCTTTTCACTGTTTTGTAAATGGATGCCAATCATATTTAATCCTGATGTCAGCTATCTGAAATTCATACTGTTTGCAAACATCAAATAATTCAATCCTTTTATTTTCAAGCCACTCTGCTGTTGGCTCCTGTAAGTTGCCATGCAGAATGGCTCAAGTGCCACATGAAAATACAGCTTAATAATGCTTGCCACGTATGGAGAAAGAAAGAATTACACAGATGTTTAATTATCTTAATGAGGTTATCTCCAAAAGGCTTTTGTAACCTCAGATCTGGCAAAGACTGTTCTAAAAACCAAAATTCCGTCTCTACTAAAAGCATACACCAGGCTTGAAATTTAACCCCACACATCACAACCTCTCTACAAAGCTCTCTCGTGGGAGGAACTCAGCAGAAGTGGGTGAACGCTGAGTGATGGGAGGACCTGGCTGAAGTTCAGATCAAGGGCCAAACCCACGTCTCCGTCCTCAGTCCCAGCTCATGACTCAGGCAAAAGCCTCAACTGGACATCTATTACTTCGCTCACAACAGCCCATTCCTTATCTCCTGTCAAATACAAAGGATCTGCCTAACTGTCTGGCAAAACAAACCAAAATTCTGTGAGATAATATCTGCTCTAGCCTGATTAAACTGAATCATGATAGGATTTTTTTTTTTTTCCTCCTTTTTTTTTTTTTTTGGTAGAGCATCATTCTAATTGCCGTTTTTCTAATTTTCAGGTTTCAGAGTCGCAGACAATGCTGAGCAGCTGCGTGTGTAACAGTAGCAGATCAAAGGTACAATTAGTCTAATGTGGGCACCAAAACAGAGAAAAGGATGATCAGGAAAATGAAAGAGGAGAATGCAAGCAAGCGTTCAGTGACAGAAGAAAATCATTAGCGTTGGCCAATACCACCAGACAAGAAGAGGCCAATGCCATTTGGAAAATAATGACATGGCCTCAGGAGAGGTGTGTGTGTATGTGCGTGTGAAATAAGCACTAAAAGAAAATGAGCCTTGCTGTACTAATTGGCCTCGCACTTTCCCTGTAATTTCTCATGTGTTCCCTGTTCTCCTCTAATCATCCACACTCATGAGTACTTTCCCATTCAGTTATCTCCTTACAACTGCTAATTTGATGCTATATAATTAATTTTACAAGTGTACATTGTTATGAAACAATTTTCTACTCTTTAAAATGATTAAACTTTCTTCTCACAAAACCACTTTTGAAACCTTGACAGCTTTTTAAAAACTGCTTTCCTGGAGAAAAGATGCATCAAAAAAAGTTTCTGCCCTCTATGGGACACAGTAAGCTGCAGGGGCTCTTTCTGCTCACTTTGGAAGTGGCCTTCACCCTCTTTTCACTGTCCTGATGCTCAGGAATGCTTTCAGACACTTCTGGCAATGTCCTCTTGGCTTCGCTAGTTGTTGTCTTGATTTCAGGTTACCTACTTATGGAAAACCTTTAAGGCCCTTTCTCATAGGAAGAGGTCTTGCTTATGTCTGGAGTTTCACTGAACTCAAGTCCTTGCATGAGCTAGGTCAGGTCTGTCTGTATGAACTGCAGATTTCCATACTACTGTGGAAAACAATTAAGCTGAAGCAACTAGTCTTAGGCTCATGCTAGTGTTTGATTGATGGGCAAATTCACCAGCTGTGGGTTTTGCTGGCATGTGTCTTTGGCAACGCATATCCAGCCTGGAGGAAAGCTCCTTCTCCTGCATTCCCAAGAGTCTTCTCATAGAGCTAGCACTCCCAACAGGCCAGCCAGGCCTTATTCAGACACATCTAGTAAAATATTTGGGCAAATTCCGGGTTAGGTAGACCTCAGCTATCCACTGCAGAAGCGTGGTGACACAAGTAGCAAAGAAAAGAAGGACTTGCCTGAAGAGACTTTGAAGGACAAGGTCCTCACACCTGGTACAAAGAGATTCAGGCTGAAAGTCTCTGTCCCAAAGCCAATAAGAAACATCTCCAAATGTTCTCAGAGTTGAAAAACACTAGCGCTTCCCAGTGTCTGGACAGGGAGTCACCAGGTTTGTGACCAACCTAACTTCTTCCATCTGGAGGTCAAGGACAGGGAATGAACCTCTACCCCAAGGAAAATGGCATAACTGGGCCCTTTTTCATCTCTGAATAGCCTTTCCCAGCCCTTTTGCCGCTGAGTGTCCTCTTCGGTACGCTGAGGGGCCTGGGAGAGGCTTGTCTGGGAAGCTGAAAATATGGTACAGTTCCTTCTCCTCCTCCCGGGTATGTCACCAGAGGTTCAACTAAGATTTAAATAAGGTTAATTTGGGTGAAGCAGGCAACTCTTTCACTTATCTTTTCCCCCAGCTAACACATGCTGGTTATTTCAGATGTCGTTTCCTACACATGGAAGCCATTTTTGTAAGACACAGTGATCTTACTAAGTTATCCTCCCTCCATATATAAGCATGGAAAATGTTATTTGCTGAGTCCTTTCAGGACTGATCATCTTTGCGTGCAGTCTTCAGGCCTCCCTTCAAGCCTCCAAGCCTGTAGGTGAACAGAGCTCTTAAAAGAGGTCGTCTAGTAGGAGGCTAAGGTGTATTGAACAACTTTCAGTGATAGTTCTCTGCTCACTACAGACTAAGGGGATACAATTTGCAGTAACTAGTAAGTACGTCTTAGCAATATTAACAATATTTCCCCATCTCATTGATTTTCATCTTCTTCACCTTAACTTCACCACGGGATAAAAACCAATCTAATAACAATCCCTTTGTCATGAGCTAAGAAACAAGACCAACTACCCATCTTTCCTCCAATTTATTAGGCTGAGAATAAGCCATGAGGCCCTTTCTAGGTCTTATATAAGGGATATTGTACTCGGGCCATCCAAGAAACTGGCACGTGAGAAATAGGGAAGCAGAAGGCAGGAAGAAATGAAGACAACTATTTCAAAGGCAGGTTTATGCAGGCAGATTGAATTGCTGGGCTTTGAACCTGAATGGTGCTGAATGCTTACTCCCAACATTGCAGTGCATGGCTAGGACAAGTTCCATCCTTCCTGATAAAAAGGTGATTAGGGCAAGTCACATGTTGAGACCGCCTGGCAGGCATCTCCGACCATATTCAGTGGGAGCACTGGACTTTGAAGACTATTTCCAGTTGAGGAGTAAGAAAAACAGCAGTGTATTTAAAAAAAAAATCAGCACAACCTGCTGCAGGTTTCTTGGCTTCCGCATTGTTAATCTGTTCTCTTACAGAACAGTTATGATTCACAGCATTAGAGTCAGGTCAGCATTTCTGTAACAAATGTTATTAAAGATTGGATTTAGCTTTGTTTTTTAAATTGGTTCTGAGCTATAACTGAGTGCACAACGTCTGCATTTTTGTGTTTATAAATGTAGGGAAAAAAAATAAATATCTAAGGTTTTTTCACAGTACTCTAACTCTAGAGCAGCTTTGATGGAAAAACAAAATTATAAAACAGTCTATAGATTAGCAAAATAAACAACAACAGTAAACAAAAACAAACAAAAAATGTGCACTATCTTATAAATGCTGTGGTAATACACATAATCACTCAGATAAACTCGTTGTCCTATCTACATCTCAGCCCTCACTCTGCAAATAAATCCATCCATGTGCATGTACTCCATTTGCTCCTTGCAGTTATAAGATCTGTTTTTCTCACCAGTGCTTGGAGCTCCCCAAGCAGAAACATGTGCATATGCACTGGACTTTCTGTACGAGGAGTTGGGAGCACCGTGAGATACCTGTTTGCATAGGCCTGTGCAGCAAATCCTGACTACACAGGGTTTGGTGCACATGCAGACCACCTGGGCATGCTTCCAAAAGGTCATATTTGCTGTGTACATACTGTGGAGTTGGTACATACTTCCAGAGCTGGCGTGTACAGGAGCATCGGTAATTCTCATCAGGACTAATACAGAAAATACATGAGCTCGGCCTGGTGTATTGGGTTTGCGTGGCAAGGTTTTGGTAGCGGGGGTGGGTACAGGGGTGTCTTCTGTGAGAAGCTGCTCTGTCCGATAGAGCCAATGCCAGCTGGCTCCAAGATGGACCCGCCACTGGCCAAGGCCAAGCCCATCAGCCACAGTGGTGGCGCCTCTGGGATAACATATTTAAGAAGGGAGGGAAAAAAAACCTGTGCAACTGCAGCCAGAGAGAGGAGTGAGAATATGTGAGAGGAAGAGCCCTGCAGACATGAAGGTCAGTGCAGAAGGAGGGGGAGGAGGTGCTCCAGGCGCCGGAGCAGAGGTTCCCCTGCAGCCCGTGGTGAAGACCATGGTGAGGCAGCTGTGCCCCTGCACCCATGGGGGAGCAGATATCCACCTGCAGCCCATGGAGGGCCCCACACCAGAGCAGTGGGTGCCCAAAGGAGGCTGTGACCCTGTGGGAAGCCCGTGCTGGAGCAGGCTCCTGGCAGGACCTGT